TCCCGAGCCCCACACAAAAACCGCGAATACTCTATGCAACTTTTGAATATTGGCCCTAGACATCCACAGTGCCTGGAGAACATACCACACTTTAGCCACAAGGAAAATGTTACACACAGTAGAACGAGCAAAAATTGAGAGATTCAAGCCTCCCCACTTAAGCGTATTAGCGCGAACCTGCTCAACTTCTTCCCTCCAATACTCAGTCGTATCCTTGTAATGCTGAAGAGGCACTCCGAGGTACTTAACCGGCGAACAAGTCCAGTGCATTCTTTCGAACCCAGCCGGTCTGGTATCCCAACTACTATGCCAGAAGCCCACACATTTGTCCCAATTGATGAGACTCCCAGAAAATTTACAAAATTCAAGGGCGTCCTTAACCACTTCATTTATGCTTTCCTTATCGTCGCAGAACACAGCGATATCATCTGCGTACGAAAGGACCTTTACTTCGCTGTTCAACAGCCTAAAGCCGCGGATTTTCTCGTTGAATAACAGCTTTAAAGAAAAGGGTTCCAGATAAAGAGCGAACAACAAGGGTGATAAAGGACACCCTTGCCTGACGGAGGAGAGAACTTGAAAACTTTCACTAACGCGCTTATTTACAATAATGCTCGCAAAACACTCAGCGTAAGACATTTTAACTCCTTCTAAGAGTACACTGCCAACGTTTACTTGATCTAAAATGCAAAAAAGAACATCGTGTGCTACCCTATCAAAAGCTTTGTCTAAGTCAAGCTGCATCATAGCCACGCGTTTTTTTCAAATACATCGCAACATTCTAGGATGCTTCTTGCAATGTGGATGTTGGTGACAATCGTTCTCCCCTTAATGCCACATGTTTGATGAGTCCCAACAATGGAGGTTATTACGCCTTGCAGGCTTCTCGCTAAGACTTCCATAAAGATTTTATAGTCCACATTTGTAAGGCTAATTGGTCGATACGACTTAACGGATAGCAGGTTCGCGGGGTCATCACTCTTTGGAATTAGTACTATATGCGTTTGGCGAAAAGATGGGGGCAATACTTTTCTTTCGTATGCTTCCATTATCACGCGGTGCAGGGCTTCGGCCACATCGACTTTGAAAGCCTTGTAGAAAGCTGCACCTAAGCCATCAGGACCAGGCGATTTTCCCGAACCTAGCTCGTCAATTGCCCTTTCTATTTCCCTCACACTGATCGGTGCTTCCAGGCGATCTTTAACGTCGTCGTCTAACTTTGGCATGAGGTTTAAAAAAACGTTATCAAATCCTCTGTCTCTTTGTCTCCGACGTCCCACCAGGTCCCGATAGTAATCTACGAAAGCACGCTCAATTATCTTTCGGTCCCGAGTAACCGTGGTCCCGTACTGTATCTCGTTTATTTCGTTTTGCGTCGCATACCTCTTTTCGTCGCCAAGCGAGCGCTTAGTCGGCGTTTCTCCTAAAAAGATTCGTTCAGCGCGGGCCCTTATCGCAGCCCCTCTGTATCTTTCGATGTCGATAAGCTCTAATTTACCCTTTACTTCTTTTATTTCTTTAATAAACGCACCGGGTCGCGCACTTTCTACGCTTACAGGAAAATCTAGCTTACACTGTAGTTCCTTTTCCTTTTCTTTTTCCAGACGGCGTAAAATACATGATCTTTCAATCGTGTTGATTTTAACTTCATCTTTAAAATTCTCCCATAGTTCGCCAACACCTCTCGACTCGACAGCAAGCAGGTTTCTAAGACTCTTCTTTACTCCGTCAACGAAAGTTTCGTCTTTCAGCATCTTGTCATTGAGTTTCCACAGTTCCCAGTTAAACCGCGATTTTGTTTCCTTTCTCTCAATTGTGAAAGCAACTAAACTGTGGTCACTAAAAGATACGTGCTTGACCTCGTAGTTCTCACACAGAGGAACCAGGCCCGCTGAAACATACACTCTATCTAATCGCGCCTGACTATCTCGTTGAAAATGCGTGAATTGGGGAACAAAAGAACTAGACAAAAAAAAGGCCGACGTCTTCCAGGCCGCACTCTTGCACTAGAGAATTCAACAAAAGAGCGCTCTGATCCCGCACAGGCAAATTACGCACTCTATCTTCAGCGGCGCATACACAATTAAAATCCCCCAACAATGTAACAATTCTTTCAGTATGTAGATAAGAAGCAACGCGCTCAAAAAAAAAAAAATCTTCGATCACACTCCCGATTTGGCGCGTACACGCAGACTACCCGCCATCGGTAGCCAGAAAACGAAAAGTCACAAACAATTTAACGTCCCGTATCGCAAACAACGACGGTTTCTACTAATATGCCTAAAGAATTACGGAGAAAAAGAGCGCAACCCCCAGATGTCCCAACCGCGTGGCATACACATACATTGTATCGTGATTTGAAAGGTTGCACCATGCGGTCCGTTTGCTCTTGGCTTTCCACCTTTGTTTTTTGAACAGCAACAACGTCCAAGTCGTCTTCCAGGAGGAGGCGACTGAGTTGATACTGTCGGCGCCTTGCTGACAGACCTCTCACGTTCAGCGTGGCTACACGAAGAGCTGTTTCAAGCCTTACTGCCATGAATTAGATCAGACGGGCCGCATGGTGCCTAACTTGGCTTTGCTGCAAAGACGAAGTACTAATGAACCGGGTGACTCGCCGGTAGTCAGGAATCTCAGGATATCCCAAAGAACCCACCGACCGCGTCTGCCAGGTCCTCAACGAACAAACTCGGGGCTCTCGTCCTCTCCAGTGCCGTCCGTCTCGAGCTCGAAACGAGTTGCCGCTCGGAGCCCGGGCCATCACACCTAAGGTGGTGATGTCGCCGTTGGACGTCGCTCTGTCGGAATGTTCGGTTTGGGCTTGAAGCTCACTCGTCGCACCGACGCCGCTTTTGGAGGTGGCTCCTCGGGGAGAACCGCGTTGGTGTTCAGTCCTTTGAAGACGCCTTCCTCGCGAGCCCGCTTGGCGACTGCGCCGCTGGATCTTGCCTCGTCGCCGCTCCAGTCCTCCGGCTCCTTGTTGGGCGTCGCCACAGGCACCGAGCTGTGGGTCATGGATACGTCTTCCGCTGCAGACACGTCACCCGCAGCCCGCGCTTGAGGTAGAGGACGGTTCTCGACGACGCTCCGGATGCCATTCCTGTCCTCGGCACTGTGCGGGGGCAGTGCCTCTGGGAGTGGTGGTCCCCCAGCTCCGTCGGCAGCGTCTTCGGACTCGGTCGCGTCCATCAGGTGCTCGGACGCGTCCTCATTCTCCACGGGCCCCGTAACGGTCGCGTAAGTCCTGACGCACTGGCTTTCCTCGTGGCCAAATCGTCGGCAGAGTGCACAGCGCGGCACACGACACTCACGCCGTATGTGGCCTTTACCACGGCACCGTAGACAAAGCGGCGCCCTGCCCGGAACTACCACAAGAGCAAGGTCCCCGGCAACTCGCAGTTGGTGAGGGAGGGCGTGCACCGTGACTCCTGCCTTGAGCTTCAGAGACACCGACCGCGTCGTCGACGACACGCCGGCGCAACCTTGAGCGCGCCACCGGTCCCTGGTGACTTCTGTGACCTTTCCATAGGGCGCCAGGGCCAAATGCACCTCGTCGTCAGGAATGAAGTGAAGCAGCCAGTGGAGCTTCAATCGTGTATGCTGGTTGCTCGGGTCGACCACGATGCACCGGCCCTCCTTGACGCGGAGCTCACCTGCGGCGAGCAGCTTCTTTTTCCCTTCGACATTCCAGAAGGTGACCGCCCACACATGGTTGTATTGGTAGGCCCCCAGGGCAATTACCTCTGAAAACAGCCCCACACCATCCAGGGCGTCGTGGAAATGTTCCAGGCGGTAGGGCCTTCCTCTCACGTCAGCGTGTAAAAATACGGTATTCAAAACTGTCGTACCTGTAGGAAGATGTGGCAAAATAACTTGATACTCCTGGGCATCAAATTCCGTGTTCCTGTTACCGCGGCCGTTGGCCGCTGATACCGCTCCGACGGAGCACATGATGACACGTCCGTTCGCTATCGCGTCCGGAAGTGGAATCCCCACTAGACCACGCCGGAACGGAAGCAACAGAGAGGGTGCGATCTTTTCAAGAGACCGGAAGAGGTGGCAAAAGATCAAAGACGAAGGTCTCACCGAGTTTTGAACTATTTTTGGGTGTAAGGAAAAGGCAGCCCTTTCCAACAAAAAAATCAGCAAAAAAACTGAACTTGTGTAACTTGTGTTTGCGATACTGCAGTTCACGATTCTTAATCAAATGTTAATTTAAAATATTATTGTTGTATTTTTAAGTGAACCCGATAAGCTTGTGTTTGTTGCAAGAATTAAGATAAATAAAAAATAAATAAAGGCGAATTGGCTATAACATTATAGTTTTCTAAAGATCGGAGGTCGCATACAGCCTAGTTCAGCAATGTTCACAATTGAATAACGCAGCAATATCCATAGGTTACTACAGTGAAGATTATTCGAGCTGCTCGACCAAGAAATGCGAAGTAAAATATACCGGGTTTACGGTTTACAGCAACGAAGGCTAGAACAACAGATACGCATAAGAGAAGTATACCAAGGAGTTGTGGAGAACAAAATCACGTTTATTACGTGTAATATCACCACGTTTGGTGTATATAATTCCACATTTGTTTTGTGTAATATCCCATTTGTATTTTTATTATTTAGTTTGTTTTGTGTGCTTTCACGTGTTTCATAAAATATCAGATTTGTTTTTTGTGCTTTTACATTTGTTTTATGCCATCTTACATTTGTTTTATCAGTTTCATTGTTTGTTTGACGTAGCAGAAGGCGCTGCGTGAATCCACCAGTGGTTACTTTTAGAAGAAGAGAGCTTGCCCCCTTTTTTGTTTTAGTTGGTATATTACAGCCCACGCTTTTGCTCATTAGACCACGAAGTCATAAATGATTCAATGGTTCATAAAACAGTCGTGATAAACATCCCAAGTAGTATAAAGAATCCAGTAATGAGAGGCGATATCTATTGAGGTCAATTCATTTTTTCTTCTTTTATTTGTCTATGGTGTATCGTCGTTCGGTCATGACAAAGAACGTCGGCGCTCGGACGACGTCGTCTCGGTGTCCGGCAGCGGCAGCGCCAGCGAACCAGTCACGGGTCCGGGGAGTTGGCTCGCTCGGTAGAAGGTTCCGTCGCCTGACGTGGCGGCGCTCAGAACCCCCAGGGGAGGACGGTCCGTCGAAGACGAGAGGCCTCCCAGCACGTACAGGGTGCCGTCTGGACCGGTGGCATGAAACGCAGGAGACGCCGTGTAAAGGTATAGTTCCCGTAAGCATCGACACATTTTCCGAATGTACCCCCTTCACCTTCTGCCACGCTATCCATTCGTCGTGCCTTGGCGTGTACGCCGCTAGGGGTGGGTCGGAGGTCCACTAACGGTGACATCATGCGCGGACCTTGTCTTTTAGGGGGTTGCATAATTAGTAAGTCGAGCACGCAGTCTGAGAAACGCAGTATTTTGTTGGTGTTTCTTGCTTTTCTTATCGTTTTTCGGGCGGGGTGCTTTTCAAGCATTCCTATCACACCATCAAACTTCTTGCAATCCGCCAGGAGCGAGCTGTAACGCGCCCCTACTGCCCCGTATTGAACAAAAAAAAAAAGACCGTGCATATGCTTTCCCGCAGGGTACTCGGGGTGTCTATGCGGAGAGCAAGTTCGTCAGCTTCTGGAGCTGCGATGACGTCAGAGCGCCAAGTTCTGATTGGCTCTGGTTGGAAGGACACTGGGTAGACCTCAGGGCAGCTAGTCTTGAGGTCTACCCACTGTCCCTCCATCAGAGCCGATCGGAGTTCGGCGTTCTGACGTCAATGCAATCCCCACGCAAGAAGCAGACGAACTTGCGCTGCGCGCGTGAAGCGTGCGTGTGGACGTAGCTTTTTGCAAGCTCGCAATTGCACGGGTATGCTCGTACGAGCAGAAACATGGCGGCGGTCAGTCCCCTCTGCTTGGAATCGTCTATAGACGCTTTCAGCGCGCGCCAGATTGAGCCGCCATAGCCGACCGTCTCTTGTCTTACCGAGATGCCGAGCCACTGAAGCGGGCGTTGACGAGCCTCCACAAGGGCCTATGCTGGGGAGAAGGACACAGTAGCACCCAAAGTGGCAATAACATGCCCTGCTGTGGAAATGATGAAGTGGAGCGAACGGAATAAGAGGGAACAAAAACTGAAGGTCGGTTATGGCAGCTGCCTGAAAGCGTTTATAAGGTTAGGCCCAAATTTGAGCCTGTATTGTCAGTACAGCGTCACGTGAGCACGTGAGATGTCACCCTTGATGTCGCCGTCTTTGTTTGAAGGCCTAAATATGTTTTAGGTTTCGTCGTTATAACTTATTAGCCTACATGTGTCCGAACATCGCCGGCCTCCCACGGGAAAGTAAGCCAGTAAACTCATGCGCGTAGCGTTTCTAGAACGTGAGGGTATGCTTCACAACGGTTCACTCGGAGCACCATTGGCGTTCCTTTGACCAACTCGGCCAATAAGATGAGCGACTAGTACCACGCTTTAATGACATTGCTGATTCAGCGGCAAGGAGGGCGGGCCCCTTTTCACCACTAAGCCTGCATGGCTATGGGGGTCTCGATGCCGCTTACCTTTCTGATTGGCGAAACCGATTGAGAATTAAGGACTGCTGCTTCGAGCGCCTATGCAAAGTGCAAGTTCTCCTGCCTCTTGCCCAGGGGTCGCGGTGCCTTCAGAACGCCGAGTTTTGATTGGCTCTTGTTGGAAGGGTAGGGGGTGGACCTCCAGGCATCTAGCATTGAGGTCTACTCACCATTTTTTTTTTCAATCAGCCAATAAGAGCTCGGTGTTCTGACATCATCGCAACCCCTGTGCAAAAAGCAGACGAACTTGTGCTCTGGGTAGTTCAAGAGACGCAGGACGCGGCAAGTCCCGTGCATGTAATTATAGCTCCACAGCCAATGAGGTTGCAGCATTCGCCGATAAGAACACCGAGGAACCAATCACACAGCAAGAAGCGCGATCGTATAATAGGCCACACCGTGCGTTTCTCGGGCTGATCGGCACTGAACCTATTGGGGCAGTATTTATGTCGAGGCGTCTGAGGGTACAGCACGATGTAAGAAGAGGAACGAGACCTCCGGCACGCGACCTTACTCTTGCCACACAACGCGGCACCGACGCCGTGCCGGGGTTCGGGCAGGGGACAGAGAGGTCTCCAGCAGGTTCCGGAGGACGTGGGTTCCCAGAGGACCACGTCCGAGCGACTCCGGAAAGACGTCGTCTTCTCCTGGAGCTCGGGTCCGTGCACGACGCCGCTCACGGACAGGCCGCCAACGTGGATGAGGGAGCCTCCGGGCGCCGAAATCAGGGACCCGAAGCACACCGGCCAGGGCAGTCGGGGTCCGCGGAGCCACCTGCGACGGTTTCGGTTCCAAGACGAGGCAGAGGGCGGTCCACAAGGAGACACCAAACGTCCGTTTTCCACACTCGCGTTTGCTTGGGACCGAGGTCTTGTGATCTCTTTGTGATTTCTCCCTCTATGAGGCGACCCTAGGACTGCATTTCGCTAGGCCCAAGGTTTTGCGCTGAGATGGCAAAATTACCTTTGAGAAGTAATGAAATTAGGTCACTCATTACTTTCCTCAGAAATACACAAATGTAATTAAATTGCATTACAAATAACCGCAGACTAAAAGTACTTGCATTACAATTACTTTTGAAATGCACTGAAACTACTTCGAAATGACTTCTAAATTTCTTCAGGCAGTGATTCGCGCCCGTGACGACGGAAGTGTTAAACATAATGTAGAGCTTGTTAAGACATGACTAAAGCAGGCAGCTCACCGGTTTCGCTGTTTACTCAACGGTGATAAGAGTGCGCGCGCCGGATGAGGACGGAGGTGACATCGCAACCTTTCTTAATCAGGGGGCCTTACTACATGGCAGGGTGCCCAGATACACCAACTCAACTGTTTGACGTCGCACCACTGTGGTGGCGCTGCGGTCGGCACTGCGCATGCGAATCTGGTTTCTGAGTACGAGCGGCGCCCACAAGCTGGCGTGGGCAAATGCCGACTTCTTTGTAAACAGCGCGTTTGTGTAGAAATTGGACGTTATTTGGTGGCAGGTCAATCGCTCTGCTCTTGACAAGGTGTTGCGAAATCGACGACATATGTGGGACGTTAAGGCGGAGCGACGGGAACGAAGGGTATCCCCCGACCTCTTGGCTGCGACGTCGTAGCAGTCCACGTCTGCCAGCACGCACAGCCGTCCTCCGAGCTGAGCGATTCCTCCAGCCAAGCACAGGAGACGTCCGGCCGCTGCCACGCCCATGGCCATCCGGGCGGGACGGAGGGACTCCCCCAGGACTTTCCAACGGCTCGCGTTGGGCTCCAGGCACTCCACGCTGTCCAGAAGTCTGCAGCGCGGAACAAAGACTCCTGCGAATATGACCTTCTTTAGAGTGTGCGCGACATCGCCTGTCCGCCACCGCTCGGCCACGTCACGTATTAGACACGAGAGGCACGTCAGCGATCGGCAATGACTCGGATCCAATCGCATCCCTCGTGCCCAATGGATGAATGGACGGTAATGGTTTACCCTCTGTAATATGGGCGGCAGCTTGCGCCACCTAGCCAAGAAATGACGACCGCCATTGTTTCTCGATGAACTTTTGTAAGGGTATAGTGCTTTCACCCGGTTCCTTTCGACGGTCTCATGCTACGGCCACCATATTCTATTAATTTTTATGACGGCCAACCGTAAATATATGAAGCGCTGCTTAACCCAGCACATGGGAAAGTACAGTCAATGCGGACATCCTCGATGTCTTTGCGTTTTACTACTAGCGTTTAGATAAAAAAAATAACTTACTATGATAGTTTTAATCGCGGCTTTCCAGTAACAAAAAGAAATTGGGAATTAGAAAAAATGAAATGAAACTGGAGGCCACTGACTAACACCTGTCCATTTGAGTCTCTCTCTAGTAATCTACCTTGATCGAACGCTTTTCGTGTATAGTCTACGCCTTGCGTTCGATCGATGTAAATAACTAAGGGCATCCAGCGCACAGCCCTTACAAAAATGATCAATGAGTTTCAATTGAGTTTCTATTCATTTGAATGACTTTCAATTGAAACTCGTTTCATATTTTTGTAAGGGAGGGTCTTTATCTAGGTGCTTATACACTGACTGGCAAAACGTTTCTAATGGCTAACTCGAATCTCTATAAGTTAAAAAACGCGTGACAAATAAAATGTTAATTATAACTCAACTCAGTATTTATAAAGACAATCTAAGTTCGACCCACCCATCACTTCCCCCTTACCAGTCAAAAATAATGATTTGTAAGATGCATCATTATCGAGAACGTAAATTAACGGGCCTCCCAATCGTTTCACAAAGTATGCTGACGCGAGACAGCTTAACATTTCGAGCCGCACTAGCGAACACTCTACGGGCGCATACATTTTATTTCTGTCTCGCGTCAATCGATTGAATCGAACTTGCCGAAAGCCACACACCATATACGCACGATCTCATGTCGCCGACGTCTTGCCGGTGCGGCGGCTCTGTCCGCCCAACGGCACACTCGCCAGGGGGCGCAAGCCATTACCCGATTCAGAGTTCAGCCTTATCCGTCCATCCATCCGCCAATCTATTCGCACACGCGGACGCTTCACTTCTTGAAAAATAATAATAAAGTGGTTGCTGCGCATGTGCGATGCCCACAGCTCCCGTGGGCAAGCACCATGTTTACACGCAATGAGTTGCAGCCTTGGAAGAACCAGTCGCTGCATATCAACGAAGGGAGCTCCCTGCGTGGATTGCATGTGATTGGCTCTCTCAAGTGCTCGGCGGAAAAGCAGGCGCACCGTATTTTCTTGAGTGGAGGCGAATTCGTAACCTTTTGGTTTGCCCAGACTAGTACGTAACGAGTTACAAGAAGCGCGTTACTTGTACCTGGTTACCTTGTTGGCTAACAAGGCAACGACCTAGTTACTTTTCAAGAGAAGGAGCGGGGAACGCATTCTAACCATTTTGTTCTTAGCCCGAGACTGAGGCAGGAAAAGAGGAAAGTTTCGAAGTAGAAAAAAATGAACAGTCGAGGACACGTCTCTAACACAGCTGTTCTACTTCGAAACTTTCCTCTTTTCCTGCCTCAGTCTCGGGCTAAGAACAAAATGGTTAACATCCACCAGCTCGCCTGCGCAATCACTACATTATCAACGCATTCTAGTTACATTTTGATACAGTAACGAGTAACACGGTATCTAATTGTTTTGTTTTAGTAGCGTGAGTACGCTGACCTTCCGCGCTTGTCCTTGCCGCCGACCGCGAAGATCGAGCCGGACACGTTGGCGCAGCCGTGGAACGCCCTGGACTGGTGCAGGTCCGGGAGCGTGTCCCACTGGCGCTGGCCAAGCTGGTAGCACAGGCACGAGGCCAGCGGGCTCACGCGACCGGCCACGGTGCGACGACTGTTTAGGCCCCCTGCGTCCGTCGTCACCGAAACAGCATCCGTTAGGTGGAAAGCACAGAAGGCCCCGGACAATATGAGCTGAAATAGGATCCGGACGTTTGCTGCGCCTGCACTTCCCACAAGCTCCATCGTATCTCAAACTGCCAGAGAGTTCCGGGATTGAGATATAACCTTCGCGTTCCGCTCAAGTTTGAGCCAGACCTTCTTTCAAAACTGGCAGAAAAGCCGAAGAAGCAGAGGGGGGAGGGGGCTATTTCAGCTCATGTTGTCCCAGACAATATATGCATGTGCCAGCGGTTAACAACCCCATGGGTGCACTTTAGCAGGAACAGATTCCAAATCTATTCACAACTCCGGCTTAGAAAGACTTCGTAATGGAGAGCTCTTCCGCAGGAAGAGCTAGTCACCGTTCTGTGAGGTCTTACGACGGGTGGTTAAACAGTAAGCTATTTTTGCAGGTGTTTTCAAGTTGTAGTATTTCTGTTTGGCGTGATCGTAGCTCCTCTGATAAAGTGGATAGAGATCCCGGCCACTCACCCACGACATAGACGCTGTCGCCGGCAATCGCACCAGCGTGGTGATGTCTCGGTTCGGGCAACATGGCGATGCGGTGCCAACGGTCGTCTGCTTCCTCGTACGCGAGCACGGTGCAACCTGTCGGCCGGTCACAGGTACACCCGATGTTTACAAACACCCAAAGAAACAATTTGATCGTGAATATAGCACTTATGCAGTAAATCTGCCACTCTTGTTTCAAAGCGATAGCTCGTGCCGCGCGAAGAGAGCGAAGAAGGCAGTCCTGGCGTCCCGTCAAGAATGGTGCGACGAGGGGAGAATCTTTGTGTCGTCTGCTTGAAAGACTTGTTTTTTTTGTTTTTTTCAAACATTACTCGCGTTATGCGAAATGCCACTTTGGCTGGATCCAGTTGTAATGCGTAATGTTGGATGGTTTTAGAAACTTCCACCGCGCTTACCCACTTCACGGATCGCCGAGCACTCGTGGAGGTCGTCAGTGGCATCCCCGACGCCAACCACGGCGGCTATGAGAATTAACCACGTTGCACCTCCGTGCTCATTTACGTGACGGCACTATTCCACCCGCATTGCAAGACCGCGTTACATCTATTACTCTCGTTTCTTCGCCCATTGTGAGCGAAAAATACGCCCTTTTTGTTGTTTACTTCCGTACTCAGTTCTCTGACAGATGATAACTTGCGTGCCACTAAAATTAAAAACGTCAGGTGTTTCGTGTCGCGGTGACTGGTTCTGATGATAAATTAGCTCACTGCCACTGACACCAGACAGTCGTCTGTACGCTCTAGAGCATCCTAACAGTTTCATTCATACGATAATCCACACCCTTGTCTTGTGTATCATTGGAAATAGAGTGCCTCTAGGGCGCCTCAGTGTCCTGTTTAGTGTGATGACATTCTTTGTAGCACCCGATGAAGACAGTACGCGCTTACATAAAAAAATACAAAGAAATCGCGGGAAACAAAATGCCGTCGTAGCACAGCCTTGCAAAGGGAGACGCTCTTTTCACGCACTTTAGAAGAAAAACAAAACAAACAAAAAAAGAAACGAAGCGTTCGCAACAAAATGGGTAGATTTCATTGCCCTAAGCGAAGCGCACATGAAGGCACGCCATAGTTAGAAACGATTGCGTGGCCGAGTGCGTCAACGCATCGCAGCTCAGAGCAGCGGGAGCGAAAGCTCGTACTTCAGAACCCAGAGATTCTGGGTTCAATTTCCTCACCGGTCCGTTCCGATCTGAATGAGCATCGTACCGGCGAGCGGTCGTGTATCACTACTACGTGGTGCATGTTGAAGACAGTGGTAGTCCACTGGGTAAATTTCTCATCTACCACGGAGGCAACAGACGCCCATGGCTACTTCCCAATGGCTACTTGGGCGCCACACACGCAAGAAAAATTACCCGTGGACACTTGTTGCGGAAATTCAGGGTCGATGCCTCCGACAAGGAGGAAGCCAGGACTGCCGTGACGTAGACGCGAGTCCTCCGGCAGGGCCTTGGCGGGGTACTCGTCCCACTCGATGCGCGTGTGCTTCCCCAGGGACCGAGACTGGAGTAGACGGTGGAGCATCGGGTCTGCCGTCCAGGCCTTGGACTCAGCAGCGGAGGTCGGGATCTGCCTCGCAGACAAAGGAGGTCTCAAGGACCGGCGCTACCCGCAACTCCAGTGGCGTACACCTCATTCCCTCTCCTCTGTCTTATATTTTGGCCGCCTGGTCGCGTTAGGTTTAGCTTCACACTTGGCTATAGGTGGCAGCTCCCAGCTTCTCTCCTTCGCGTCTTTTCCGCTGAATGTCGTCGCCTCCTCTGGAGTGGCGAGTACCCCGACAAGACTTCCTCCCGCAAATTCGACTGACAGATTGGATCATTGATTTATTGATGACACTTCCGGTGGCCAGTGAGAATCGAGGTTTAAAAGCGACGTAGGTAAAGCCAGTGACCAGAAAAAAAAAAGTAAGATGGCCGAACATGAACCATTGTTCCACTAACGTGTGCAATTCTCACAGGGTCCGACGTTTCTACTTATTGAGGGACTGCACAAGCTCGACCACAACTCGAGTCCGTGTCCAGTGACGAAAAAATAAGCCAAGTGGACGAACATGAACCATTCTAACGTGTGCAATTCTGACAGGGTCCGACGTTTCTACTTATTGGGGGACAACTCGAGTCCGTGTAGAGGAACGTACCGGGGAACAATGCTCCCGATGAGACGTCAGTGCAAGGCGTGTATCACAACGTAACGGAGTCAAATGTAAGCAAACGATGCTGTGTTAATGGGCCTTTAGTATACAAACGGCCTGACACACTCGCAACGCGTTCCGTTCGCCTGCTGCCTCACCTCTTGCACGTGAAGCTGAATCTCTCGTTCCGAGCCGCTTTGAGTGGCGTCCACCTGGGAAGTTCGTTCCTGTTCGAGCATCGCGGGCGGAGACGTCTCTCCCGAGGTGCTCGGCTGCGGAGCGGCGCTGCGGGCCGTGGCCATCGTGGTCCTCCTCCGCCCGGTCGGCGCCGACCTGCACTTGAGGGGCGCGCACCTGTCGCGAAGCATCGGCGACGGCGGCGAGTTGCTCGCCACCGTGCTCGTGTCGCCCATGCCCTGGTCGGGCTGAAAGAAAAAGACAAAGAAAAAACGGTTCCTTTTCATGTCAGGTACATGAACTGTGGGGACAGCCAAGGCGCAGCACAATCTGCTGCGCACTATGCTTCCTGTCCCCTGCCTGCGCGATTTTTCCCCCTCTTTATGGGAGCACAATATTTACTCGCAGGAACATCTCCTTTTCATGAAACCCGTCTCAAAAGTTCGCGCCATTTAGTATAGACCTTTGCAAAAAGAGCACTCTGGCCGCCGCCATTTTGCGAATCGAGCGACCCCTATCAGCCAGAAATTTCTGGCACCCGCCTGAGCTGTGGAAACCCGGTCAGCGTGACTCCCCACCTGCATTTCGCATTCGGAGTTCGGCGGCTTTTCTTTGAAGTTTTCATTTTATTCCCCTGTTTAGGATGCTTACCCTTTGTATGTTACCTTCAACTGTGAGAACCAGGGAATACCAGGGCTCGTAGCCCGCTCGGCCTTCGCAGGAAACGAACGAAGAGAGCGAACGTCAAGCAGCCCGCGACGCAGGCAGTTTGACGTGCTTGGAGGATTATTTCCTTCGAGATTATCGCCAAAAAGCCTTCCAGGCTGTGTTCCGGGTCTTCGCAAAAACTAGCTGATAGGGTCGGGTCCGGGGTGTGGCGACGGAATAAGCACGTTCGTTCATTTCCTTTGTAGCTGTGCAAAAAAGGAGCTCTCTTTTACATGTTCCCCAAAACACGCCGGTTTCCGTCCGATCGTCGTGAAGTGACTATCGTCGACACTGTATATTGGATATGCTGTGTTATTTGAGACCTTTCTCAAATCCTGTTCGGATAACCCGGCACCGTGGGGTGCGTACAATATATTTTTTGTTCGATTGATGAGACTCATTGAATTTTATGTTGTGAGCGGGGAATATCCATGCAGTACGGATATCCTGTGTGTGCACGGCTGAGTGTACGGTGCCGTAAAACAATGAACATAAAATGAAACAAACGTTCCAGTGGCATTTGTTCTGTCGCGCACGGACTCACCAAAACAGCTTTCATTTCTTTGTTTTTGTTCCCAAAAATATAGCACTGCTTTCTTAAAGACCTTTATAAATTATGTTCGCCACAGAACACAAGATAAAAAAGAAAACGCGGCAATTCAGCCGCCACCAGCGTCCGGAATGGCGCCTACGCCGGCTGCAGCAGCCCACTGACGGGAAACTCCACAGCTCAGCGCAGTCGGGCAACACTGACGTACACTCTCAAAACCAGGGACACGCGCTGTAAATCGCTTCGTTCGAGACTGCCGCTGGAAAGGTCTATAGCTGCCGCGTCAATCATCCGAATCCGCCATTGTTTCGCCGCAAACTATGAGCATGCGCATTAGACGCGAGGGCTGCGTTCAACCAACCAGAAGTGTGATCGGTATGCTCCAATAGTCGTGCAGTTTTTTTTTGTTTTTTTGTTTGGCAAGAGGGGCGAACGTCTCTTTTTTATCGGTACTGTCATCAAATCCGCGGGAGAGTGCGTCAGTCTTCTTTGTACGTGTGCACTGCAACGGTTGAAGTGACTCAAGGTCTTGTAGCGCGTCCGGGTGTTACTGCATGCAGCAAACTTGCAGCACGGATAGGTATAGCCAGCCGGCAACAGCCAGGCGGCGCCAGTAGAGCGGGAGCCCAAGGGTATACCCTGTCTCGTTGTAACTTGGCAAAGGGTGAACGATAAGCCGTACACATTGCGTGCCGAAGTCTTTGAAATGCGCAACGTATACGAGCGCAACGCACACATATTGGAGCATGACGCAGCGAAAAGTCTGATACTTCTTCGGAGTAGAGGCGCGCTCCGCGGTGATACGCAGTCACGTTCCCATTGGCCCGCCAGGGCTGTAGCTTCTGCTGTACTGGCACGTTACGCGATCACGGCTGCCTGGGATACCCAGTATTTCTTGCTTCAGACACTAGGCTAAGCGGCGCCACCAGAGTAAAAGCTCACGTTTTAACAATGCAGCCACACTCCCAGGGATACTCAATATTTCTTGCTTCAGTCGATAGATGGCGCCAAACCAAACAGCATTGCAGGTTGCCTATAGCGACTTACCGGACTGCCGGAGTCTCCCTTAAGCGAGAAGCGTCTCCGGGGATGCGTGTACTGCTTGAACTTGCCCTCTTGGCCCACTTGCTTGGCCGAAATGTAGCTGCGAGGGTCCATTTTCACTCATCAATGTAAAAACACGAGCATTCTACTTTCTAACATGTAGTAAACAGACACGTGGCAGCTGAATTGTGAGCGATACTCTCTTACTGGTTTCCCACTGCGCACCATTCCATGCTGTGTGTCAGAGCGTCCAATGAACAAAAGCTGTCCTGATACTGCACCACGCTTTCTCTGCCTCGTTTCCACCAGATCCCGTGCCACAGAGCCAGGCCTTTCATTGGCTACGCTCAGAGCGACCTGCCACGACAGCCAAGCAGCGAAAGACATGTGGTCTATGTCACGTGGAACTCGTGTCGGCCATTTTTCTCGGTCCGTACACGTCCTCAGTTGGCACGGTTATTGGATGAACTCAGTTACGGAACTGCCCATAGACGCCGCTTCCATGAGCAATACGCCCTCTCCCTCCGACGTCTGCCTCCCGTCGTTCGACGCGCCACCTTTTCTTCGGGAGACGGCTCCTATGGCAAATACAGTTACACGAGTTTAGAAGCACAGCGTCTAGATAGAGTTTCACCGTAGCGTCTCCGAACAATACAGTTTTAAAGTGCAGCCTCAAGATCAGGGGTGGCCAAACTGCGGCTTTTCACGGGTTCAGGTGTGGCTCGCGGCTCCCTAGTAAGCGTGCTCCCCCACCCCCTTTTTTTTTTCCCTTTCCCTGCTGTGTCCCCAAAACAAACAAAAAAAAAAGTTAAGAAAGAAAAACAGAGTGTTGGCAGTTTTGTTCTACACGACGTACATACAGCTGAACTCCTTTTTGACACATACATGTGTCCAGTGCACCTGTTTCCTTTATTGCTCGAGAAATAATTTTGAACCGTATACGCATAACTGGTGTCAGGAGCAGTGACTGGCTAGCGAACCATGCGTTCATTTTTGCTTAGCGGTTGAAGAAACGCTCTACTGCGTGGTGTTATTTTTCGTAGTCGACAGTTGGAACAAACTGTTCCCTCCAAATCGTTCTTTGCTAAAAGCAGCCACTCCCCCCCCCCCCCCCCCCCCCTTTTTTTTTTTTTTTTTCCTGCGGCTTTTTTTTAATTTTTGTACTTTTGTCTGCGGCTCTAACCCCATGTCACTCTGGCCACCCCTGCTAGATGGGGCTTCAAACGACGGGTGGCAGACCTGAGGGGGAGGGAGGGGGGGGGGGGGGGTGCGGGGTGCCCTCTTCTGCGGGAGTTCCACAACTAAGTTCATCTAACAACCTTGGCCGTTTTTTTTTTCTGTTTTTTTTTTTTACATAAATTATTTTGAAACAGGTGTCAAAGCGGTTGAGACAAAAGGTGATTAAAATCACCTGACGAGGTCTTGCTACTTGGCTCATATCCACTCACCAGACGGCGTTGTTGAGCATCTCCCGCACTTCGGGCATCTCGGTGACTCTCGACAAAATGGGCGGATGAAAACAAGCGACGGCTTCGTTCATGGTCATGCACGAGAACCGGATGCACTTGAGGAGGTCCACCACGTGTTTTTCGCGGGCTGACCAGTCGAAGCTGAGCCACTTCAGTGCCGCCCAATACAGCTCGGTCTCACTGTCAAACGACGAGGGGGCAACGCGTCAAAAACCTCCAACACAGTCTGCCGGGCCACAGTTGTCTCTCACACATTACCAAAAAGCCCCAAAAAAGGAATGAACTAAGACAAAAGCCATAAGGACATTGACTGACCAGAACATGCGTTTAGGTTGCTGTGTTTGACCTAACTGTCCTAAACATGGGTTTAAAAAAAAACTGCTCGGAGACTTGCTAATGCAGCTTATTGCCAGTAGACTTTCTTAAACCTATGCGTCATCGAATGGCAACAAAAGATCTTTGTAAGCAAGAGGTAGTGCAGACAATTGCCCCTGTCGCTGGAAAGCTGCTCTTGTTTTGTTGGCGATCCGTGTTACGTTGTTTTGCCATCCAGTGAGACCCAGTCATCGGACATGACAACGAAACAACAAGAAGTTAGACAAAGGTGTGTGCACGAAAGAGTGACACCTTCGAGCGGCAATGGCGTCTCCACTGAGTATCTCGCTGACGTGGTCCATGTCCAGATTGAGAAACTCCGGCAAGGCGACGACGTCCTGAAACCTGCTCAGGATGGTCTTGTACGCTCTCTGCCAGGCGGGTTTGGTGCCGAGCCGCTTGCCAGAGACGTACACGAAGAGGGCGTGCAGGGGATCGTCCGGGGAACTGGTCAAGACCTGCACAAAAACAGGGCAAGATAAAGTACCTGTCGTGGTGGTCCCTTCTCACTGAACACTGCCAGTGCTGTCTTCACTAATAGCTACACAGGGGTCATTTCCGAGTTAATTATCGGCTAAGTTAACCAAATTAATGCGTGTATAGCAATAATCGCGGTCAGATCTTGTTGCCGAGGGTTACATTCAGAGAGGCTAGCTTCTTAAAAAGAAGCGACAAAAATATAACATACGTGGAAACTGTAAACGAATGCTAGATGATTCTGTTGTACAATAAGCGTTTCTTCAGATAATTTTTTTCTCGTAAGCATATTACAAATCTAATATGTTTGTTATATGCATGAGGAAATTTGAAGTCACTTAAAATATTTTTTTTCGTCATAGTTTTTGGCGAATTATTTTAAAATATGTGCACAATATACAAAATAGACGGGGAACATAGTTGAAGGCAACTCAGTTTATAGTCAGTTGAAGACAACTCAGCCTCCACCTATTTTCAGTGGCATTCGTCTTTGCACTGGTTCCGATGGCGAAGAATTGGATAACATTTTTGAAAAACAAAATTTCAGAGAACGCTCTGCTCACGCGACAGCAGACAGGACACCGCACAAACAAATTTGGTTTGGTCGCTGGTAGTCACGAAACCGAAGCACCACAAGGCTATGAACAAACCAACATTACCCTTTCATTCCCCCGTCCGCCATCCTTTAAAAAAACCAGTTTGCAAAAAAAAAAAAAAAAAAAAAAATCTAGGTACAAGTAACTCAAACCGGTAACTAAATTTTTTTGTCTTTTTTTTTAAAACCTAAGGTTTAAACCTTGGTGGTTGCATTTATTTGGAAATGAAACCTAACCTTAGGTACACTTTCTAGATAACTGTAACTAAGACAACCTACGTTTCTGCAAGTACTTTCTCGGACTCTTCAGCAAAATGGGGAAGAACTAATAGCTAAAAAAGATGGCTCTAAATGCTGGAATAATCCCTTGATACTGCGGTTGTTTCCTAACACAAAAACGTTTCATCCAAAGCAAGGTGGGGAGTGGCAACCAAAATGTGAATGCTCTGACATATCTGGGACGAAGCATCGTTGTATGAAGCATCTTGGAATGAAGTGAGCAATCGCAGCAGATGATGGGCGCTACAATTGAAGACGACGATACAGGAGGCATCTCTTCAATTGTATTTTATTACGCACCCTCTGCAAAACAGACGAACATTCCTACCAGGGATTTGAGGTTGCGAGGGGGAATTAACGGCTCTTGGCATTCTTCGAATGAGTGAAACTAGTATCACACTGTCCCATTCAAATCTTACTAGTGCAAGCGTTGTTAGGACAATAGCCGCTCAATAGATTTAAATAAAATTATTTCATGCCTCTTATTTAATAACAATTATTTGTGGAGTGAAAAAAGTGTGTTTGCAGCATGTGTACGTGCACCTATGCAAATTTTGAAATATGCGTCCAGAGGTACAGTATACGTTCCTTGTACATTTTACTACGAGTAACTATAACTGCATGTTTATTACTATACATGTTTCGAGAAACTTGTACAGCACTGGACAGGACCATGAGCAGAACTCACCTCGGCGCATTTTTCCTTGATGTTCTTCATATCCAAGTGCTTGGCCGCCTGGAAGACATCCACGATGTTCTGGCACGTGAGGTCCAGTCTGCCGGTGTACATGTACTTGAGAAGCACGTGAAAGGACTCGTGCGTGATGCCATTCAGCTGCACCTGAGCACAATTGGATGGATGGATGAATCCGGCTGAGCCTTTTGGATCGGCCGGTAGCTTACGCCACCTAGTCAGACTATAGCGCCCCCTGTTATGCACTGGCCGATGTCGGCGTGCGTGACTCACTCTTAGCGAGCGAGAAACAAAGACAAAGAGCTGTGTTACGTCGAAACATTGGTGACTTCGAACATGAAACCGACCACTCCACAGACATTACCAGGAGTGACTTTCAGTGACAAAATTTAGGCCTACACCGTTCCAGTATCTTTGCAAGTCCTCAGCCGTGCGATCTCCTCAGCCCAGCACGCGAGAGTTCGTCGCTTCGGCAAGCGAGCAAATCGCGCGCCATAAGCACCAAGACTGAAAAAATCCGCGACTGCTAAGCGCCTGCTAACGGCGAGCTTTCACAGTTGTTTTGCAACGTGCATTTAATATTATCAAGATTGCCTGTCTTAGCAGCGATAAATGTGAACTATCTCTGAGTAGCGCACTGAAGTATGGCGACCGGAGACTATGACGTTCAGTTACAGTGTACTAGAATACGGGGTAGTGTTGGGACCGGAGCGGCTCGCGTGAGGCGTGTGGTGTAGATCGCGATAGGTGTCGACACCGGCGCATCGACGGTAGGGCCAGTATGGTGGTGGTTGTCTGCGTGCACCGCGTGCACGCGCACGTGCGGCGGCACGTGCGGACTGCAGCGACTTTCTGCTATACCCTATCAACTGCAACGCTGCGATTGTTGTCTACACGCGCAGCCTCACAAGTTCCCATTGTCGAGTCGTGCCAGTCCAAACAGTAGCCCGTATTCTAGTACACTATAGTTCAGTAATCCCCGGACGCTATGTTTGAACGTGTTGTTCACGGCAATTCTTAGAACTAGTACTCAATATGTTGTCTTTTCGTCAAAAAGAACAATCTTGTTGGAAGCTCGCACTAAGCACGCGCTCAGGATCTGTGGTGCAAAGTGGCTTTTCTGCTTTAAAGCCAAATAAGTAATTTTGTTATGGTACGTATTTATAGGTGCACGGAAATCAACGAACGTTGCCGAATGTTTTGTCATGCGTCGGTTTCCGCGATGTGATCCGTCGGCTGGAGAAGTTTAGCTTTGATCTATGAGACGCTTAAATGGTGAGCGTCAATCAGTTTGAAAGGCAGTGGCACGCCGTGCTACCTTTGACAACTGTCTCGCAAGAGCTAAAAAAATCACAGTGAATCTAAACACGACGGCAGAAGATCCTTCAGCAGTTCTTGACCCGTGCCTGCTGTTTAAAACAGACATGAGGCTGCGCCGCCTTTTGAGTCGACCAACATCCTACAGGGTGTCACAAAAGAAAACTTACACGGTCTTTTTTACCGCAAAAATAAACTAGGCATCGCCGAACGCTCATTCTCCGCCCAAAGGTAGAGCTAGAGGTCACAACGAGATGCCAAAGTTTCAGGCCGATCCGATAACTTAATCAAAAGTTATAAGTGATTTTCTTAAAAGTTTAATGGGAAAATGGAGCCCATTTTTGCCCGTTTTCGGTTTCTGGATCCATAGAGCCCCATGTGTTTGAAAACTCCGTCGGCCGCCATTTTCCCATTGAAATTTTCAGAAAATCACTTATAACTTTTGATTAAGTTATCGGATTGTGCTGAAACTTTGGCATCTGGTTGTGACCTCTAGCTCGACCTTTGGGCGGAGAATGAGCGTTCGGAGATGCCTAGTTTATTTTTGCGGTAAAAAAGATGGTGTAAATTTTCTTTTGTGACACCCTGTACTCTCCACCTTCCTGTAGGTGCAGAGGGGTGCGCGGTACCTTGAGCATTTCAGGCTTGGTGTTGAGCAGGAGCTTGAGGAAGTAGGGCGAGTGGCAGGTGAGGATGAGCTTGTGGGCCACGAAGACCTCGGTCTCGACATGCACCTGCACGTCCGTCATCTGCTGCTTGAGCCAGAGCATCTCGCAGAACTTGGCCAGTAGCGTCACGTGGTACTCGCCGCCGGTCGCCTGTACCGTCACGTGAGGTAGACCACAAGCAATATTCTCACCAAAACCTCTTGACCACCCGGTGTCCTTCACAGCAACGTACTGTCCGGTACGAATGACACGCTAACGGCGGAGCGCGTGGCCTCCGACTTGTGTTGCGGCACCGGGAGGCCACTAGGAACCGATGAAATTGCAGAGTGTAGAGGAGAGCTCCAAGGCCATGCGCCTCCGCTGATGTACACACAGTGCAGTGGAGACAAAGGTAGCGATATCTTTGTGTCAACCCCCTAATCCTTCCAATCAGAGCCTGGCGTTCTGACGTCCCCTCTCCTCCTCTCCCGCAGTTTCTCGGCGCACAGCCTTTGACTGCCCTCTGATTTCCGGTGAAACAAAGGCATAGACTGCCAATCTCCCGGGCTTCTAGTGATCATATATGCAAAAAAACACATTCACGACGAGCACAATGATGAGACGCATTCGCTGTTTTCTGACTGGTTCTATCTGCTCATCCATGGACGATAACTACTATGCGTTTAGGCTTAAATTGTCATTTAATAAAGAAGAAAGAAGAGGATCTGAATGTACTTTTTCTCAAAGTTTTATTTTGTACTCGCGGCACCGAAACCTTACCTCCTGGACCTTGCTCCGAGATTTTGTGTAAGGGTCACCTTCCATGTGGCTTGGCTTTTGTCGTGATGCCATAAGCATCTGCTGCATACCAAATTCATGGAAATATATATATATATATATAAAGTGAGATTCGGTTGGACAGATGAGGGACAATAGTTGCTGGATTTAATTTTGCTGTGATACTAGTTACAAACTACGCGCGTCGCATTCGGCCTGTAAGTGTTCAGACAACGTTGAAATTAAATAATATTGTTTGTCTAGACACAGCGCACATTACGACAATTCTTTTGCATAATGTAAATTTGTTTGCATTCTTATTTGCATTGCGTCATTCCTACACATCTCCTTATACCTTTACAAATCGAGTTGACATTTATTATCGTTTCGTCGTTCCCACGAGGGCAACAAACTTGCCAGGGTCAACGGCAGCCGTTGACCAGCAAGTTTGTTTGCGTCATTTTTTCACATGGAGAGAGCTACATCTTGAATTTTTACAGGGTAAAATGTATCGTCTAAAGCACGTTCGGTGAAATTTTGAGTTTTCCGTGTGTAGGCGCCGATTCTTTGTGGCTGGTTTTACAGCGCCAAGATCGATTGCACCATACACATTCGAGGTGGAGAAAGTATACAGATAAACGACGTGTGTATTCGTGTCACTGTTCCCTACTGTCCGTTTAGAACTGCGTGCTTGGTGGTGCGAAATATGGCCGGTCAAAGGGCGTCGGTGAATACGCCCTGGGTGATTCGCGTCCTCATGTATACCAGGGCATGGTTTCGTATATTATCCGCTTATATTTCAGGTGGCGGACGGGCATTGGCGGCGGAGCGATTCATTAAGCACACTTGGAAGTCAGAAACCTACCTCATGTGAAAATCCCTTACCTCTTCCAAGGACGAGTCCATTTCCTTCCCTAACTTCTTCTTCCTTCGCTTTGTATACATGGCTGGCACGTGACATCATCACGCCCTGCTGGTGGCCATTCCTATACTTGTTCTCGCCGAGTGAAACATATTCAACGGTACGAAATGGTTGCTGCAGAATAATACTGCTCTTGGCAGTGTTAGCAGATATATCCACCACAGTGGCCATTGATGTGAGGTTCATGCAAACCAGGTACTCACATTCGAAGCACGTAGCCACTGCTTTCTCTGCCCATATATTACAGTGTTGTTGAAGCTTCGCTCCGCTTAGTACCAACCTTCAATGGTATCCCAGAATAACAGACCGCTACACAATTGTTTCTACGCTAGGTCGGTTTCTTATTTAGACAGTTTTCAACATCTTCCGAAAGAAACAAGTACAAGTAAATGGTGCCTCCCCCCCCCCCCCGCCCCCCCCCCCCCTCCCCCAAAAAAAAAAAAAAGAAAAAAAGAGAACGTTTAATTTACGTCTGCGATTCAAGCCAGATGCAAGTTCGAGAACCAACCGTTATCTTGTTTAAAAGTTATAAGCGATTTTCTTAAATATTAATTAGGAATGGCGGCCGGCAGAGTTTTCGAATACATGGAGCTCTATTGGCGCCAGCTGCCGAAAACGAGAGAAAACAAAGTCCATTTTTCAGATTGAAATAAACAAAAAAAAAGTCACTTTGAACTTTTGAATACAATAAAAATGAATGCTAAAACTTTGGCATCTGCTTTGGGACCTCTAGTGCTATATTGGGCCGGAGAATGGGCGTTCCGCGATGCGCTATTTTTGTAATAAAATAAATAAATAGATGTATGTATACATAGACGACGATGTTTCTTACTGCTTACGTTCAACAGCACGCGCAGTATGAAAACTGCGGTGAAAACGACTTGGTGGCCATGGGCTCATTGAAGTCTTGTCTTGTAAACTCCCACGGTTAGGCAACTGCTTCGCCAGACACATGCGAATTTACTAGACAGAGCACCCCATTGAACTCCGAACATGGTGGATGGTGTAATGAAAAATGTCCCGTTGGTTTCTCGTAAAATTCCCGTAAAACGAACTATTCTGGACACGCCGGTCACCTTCGTCGCACAGTCTGCGTTCGAATGTTTACCCTATTTTATTCCGAAAGGTTTTGTATTCGCGACTCCAGAAGAAGCAGCGTCACCCAGCGGAAAAGACGTGAAGAGAAATGGAAAGATCGCGCACATCCTAAGTGCGCAACGAAACCTGGCGCGGCCTGGGGGGCAAAACGTGAAACAGAGGAGAGGGCGTCCCGTCGGACGCACCAGGTTTTGTGTTGCGAATACTTAAAAGACAAGCAGCCCACGCACGAGAACCTACTTTTTACAGCTAAGCTGTATGTCACTCGCAAGTGGGATAATTTCGTGTCGGCATCCTCACGCAAAAAAATTAAAAAAAACTTTCAGCGATTGAAGCGAAAAGTGCATATCACGCGTGCAACATACACCATAGCATTCGTTTCAATAAAAAAAAACAAGCACAAAACAAGCATCCGAACCAGATAATTGGTGATAAGGCGCTCCTGATAACAATGCGAAGCACGTAGCGCTCGCCGCATACGTTTCGCGGTAAAGATCACCGTTGCTCAAGCTGCCGCGGCGACGGCAGCTTGCGACGTGGGGACTGACGTCACTATAGCCTTTCATATATATAAAAAGTTTTGGTTCAGTGCACTTACTTTTCTTTCGTCAATCATTTGGATAGACACTTTTGCTGTTTCCAAACATGAACTGCCGCTTGCGTCCTTAGCGACTTCCGGTCGCACCGTCTTGGCAAGCCTGTTGAGCTTGCTCATGTCACCAGTGCTAGAAAGCATAAATGCTACACGGACAACAACGTTGGAGATTTAACGAGGGCCTTCGGCTGAACAATAGTACATGTTGGAGGAGGCCAGTTGGTTCACTATAATCGAAACATTTTAACAGATCTCGCACTCTTTCGTTCTTCTGGCGTTCACCTGAAGAATTGGTGGTTAAACGTTTAGTCGACATTTCAAGCAGCGGTGTTAAGGTGGCCTTTGTTCACTCTTTTTATAAACCGGAAGTCCTCTGGGACGTCAAAGACTGGAGCACCCCCTGGTGGCGTTTGCCATAAAAAAAGTATATAGTGCAGTGGGCAATCGTTGCAGGTTCGCTATCCACAGCTTCGCTATCCAAGCACCTTCGCACCTTAAATTAAAACCCCAATTTTTTTTTTTTTTTTTCAGGCATATGTGACGTCGGCAAGTCATTTATTGGCGCCGTCTCCTTCTAAAGAGGCATCCAGCCGATGGGTACGTCTTCAATTTATCATACTATCCGAATCGCACACGACGTAGAGAATGGCGGTCGAGGACGTTTCACGAAGAGGTGCAGGCCGAAAGCTTGAGGATGGACAACCTCTTCCGAACCAAGGTGTTTCCGATGGGACAGAACAGCTTGGAGTTCCGGATCTGCTCCCTGCAATGGTGAACACACACACACCTCAGCTTACTCGCTCATTTGCTAGTCATTGTAAGTGCAGTGACTAACAAGTTGGTAGGGCCTGCGAGAATCCAGGTCCGCTCGGAGAAGACGGAGTCGGCAACGATCTAGGTCTGTGATGCCACGCGTTCCACATCGGTCCTGGATCTAGTGTATACCATAATCGTATTTACTGCAATAACCACAAAAAGAAAACGACTTCTCGCGGAGCATTACTAATGTCTCCCTTGGTGAATTAAAATATATATATGCGTGTGCGTGCATGTGTGCGTGTGCGTGTGCGTGCATGTGTGTGTGTGCGTGCGCGTGCATGTGTGTGTGTGTGTGTGTGTGTGCATTCCTGATTGGCTATATGTCACTTTACAAAGACATATAGCCAATCAGAAGCTTCAGGTGCGAGTCTGCAGCGTTCGTTCTGTTTGCGTGTTTCGTCTGCTTCGTTCGTTGTTTTTTTTTTTTTTTTTTGCTTTTTTTTTTTATTATTGTTTTGACATTATGGTTTACCAAGACGTACATCCCAAACGCCAAAAAGCATCGTTGCTTGCCCCGACAACCAAAAACCTTGCGAGGACTACTTCGTTCAGCGTAATGCGCAAAACTTGTTGTTTCTGTTGTTTTTTTGCTTCACATGACAACGAGTATAGATCAAGACCTGAAGAAAACCGGCCAAAGTTTACTTCGCGGGCGACTGGCGATCTCGATCACACGAAAATCCAATATGCCTGTGTAGAAGATGCCAAGGGATTTTTCGGCAGTGCTCACCTTTGACTAGCTTGATTCATGGGTTTCATGTGGACGAAGTTGACGAGAGACTCCAAGTTTGCGAAGTCTGCCTTCTTGCTGACCGTCACTTCGCTGAGGCCGTCCAGCGGCTCCAGGCTCGTCACCAGGTTCGTGTAGCTGTGCACCAGAGACTTGAAGCTCGGAGCTCTGCGACGCGAAGCAGGAACACAATAAGGAGCACGAAAGATCAGCAAGAGGGGTTGACTCGACTGCATGCGGAGTGCATTGTGTACAGATTTCCCGTAATAAAAAAAACACAGATCATATGTTTAACTCACTCACCAGTATATATATATATATATATATACTGGTCGAAGATTAAATCGTCCGTTGTTGCTGTTTTTCACTAAGGGTTTTTTTCTTCTCAGTTTTATACCCACGCCTTCGGCCTCCCGCCACCATGCCCGTTATATATATATATATATATATATATATATATATATATATAACAAGCGGAACAAGTGGCTGAAACAGAAGCTTCTCGATTTCCGACTTTATATAAATCAGCGCTCAAATCCCAATACAGTGGAAGCACCCGAAAATTAAACAAAACAGCACAAAACGTCTCTTGATCCGTTTCTAAATTTCTTTGTTCCCTCAGTCTCGGGTCGCCATAACGTTTGAAGGTCACCAACTCTCTAATGTCTTCGGTGTTCTCACGAAGACGATGTTCGACAAAGAAGCCACGCATGAGGGAGTTCACCCTCTGTCTAATCCCTGAGTATCAACGATGACGTTGCGTTATCGACAATTATCTCGACGGAACAAGGGAACTCCCACAAAATGAACAGTGGTGTCCTTGGGCTCTGGTCCCGGCTGAGGTCAGCAGAGCCACGAAGTGAGGTTGCACAATAATGTATCATCAATACACACGAAGGAAATCACAACTTACATCTGCGTAAGTGCTATGTGCAGCTGAATCTTGGTCCCGAGGGTGAGCGTGAGCGAAGAGTTCTGCATGCTGTACCGACCGGCGACATCAGCAATCACCTCCAGCCTCACCTCGTAGTGATACACTAAACAGGACAAGTCACACCATCTTCAAACACAAAAGCATCACCGAGGCTCATGCACTTATAAACGAAAGGCGACGACACGACATGAAGCGAAGAACCAGAGTGCCGAACAATAATGCGAATAAGATTCATGATTGCTAGCTTCAATAGCGACGCAAAACCAACAGAGTAAACGCGGTTGTAAAAAGTGAGGTCGCGTCCAGGAAATGATACACTCGATGCATTAGCTGAATAGACGTACATCAAAACGGCAGATCTAAATTACGATCAAGAGGGATACGTACGTATGTTAGTGCTAACGCGTGGCTTTAATACTAAAGAGAATATTGCAAGGAACGAAGATATGCTTGTGGACTGACGGAAATACAATGTACAGTAGTTCTGACGGTATATCTTCATAACGACTGACAGTTCACAAGGACCTCTCTGTCGTTACTGCATAAAACACAGAACCTTCTTTTTGCGTACCGGATGAAATGGTAACACCTGACCGACATGTAATGGTTAGAACATATTTTCGACATCGGGTTCATATAAAAAGCTACAAGGAAATCACTCGATTGAACCCTCAACCGTATCCCGTGAGGACCCACCACAGTATGGGTAGTAGCCTCCGGTCTTCATGTAGACCACCAGGGACTTCGAGTCATCCTTGAAGGCCTTGTAGACTGCCGCGGGTTCGCCAAACTTGAAGCACAAGTCGTTCCGGGGTCCGCAGTCGGTGCAGCGACCTTGGAGGAAGGTGCTCCAGTCGGAGCAGACAAAACCCACCATGACGCAAGAAGGGTCACGAGTGATGGTCTCCATGTAGTAGTCGTAGGACCGGAGGTGCTCGCACAGGACATCGGCTCCTTCGAGGACGTCGCGACAGTCGTCAAGCAAGAACAACAAAGACAGCACGAAAAAAAAAGTCAAATAATCAATAAAATTATTTACAGATTGCAAAAAAAAAAGTTTAGTGTTTGTTTCTTGTTTGCTTTTTACCGCATAATTAAATTGTACGCATCGCGGAACGCTAAGTCTTCATCCAAAGGTAGCGCTTGCGGTCCGGACCAGATGCCAAAGTTTCGGAGCTTGTCGTTATCCGATTAAAAATGTATAAGCGATTAGAAAAAGAAGATTTGATGAAAAGATGGTAGTCGATTAATTCCAGGTACACATGGAGATAAATGGTGCGCCTACCGAAAACGAGTCCAATTTTCCCGGTGAAAGTTTCGGAAAATCTCTTACAACTTACTAAAATAACGACAAGCTCTGAAACTTTGGAGTCTTGTCCGCACAGCTAGCACTACACTTGGGTGAAAACTGAGCGTTTGGCAATGCAAAAAAAAAAAACAAAAAAAAAAAACATTTTACTTTTGCGGTGAGAATTTTTTTTTTTTTTTCAGTATAATTTTGCACTTTTGCAGTACAAAAATATATGAAGACAAAAAGTTTAAAAAAGTCAAATCTGACGTTAGATGGTTAACCAGTACAATTCTATTTTGCTTGAGTATTGGCGTCATTAGTAACACGCTGTAGATGAGTCTTTGATGCGCATCACGCAGTACCGACGATCGCACGCCTGTACGATGCGCATTCAGATCGAAACGGGCATGAATGGGAATCGAATCAGTATCCCTGGGTTCTGTTGACAAAGGAGCTCTCTGGACTGACGATATTTGTAGCTTGTAACCCACGACTAGGAAAGAAACTAGAGCGGCAACGTATCCCTTTGCCATGGTGATTTTAACCCGTAACTGAGGTAGGAGGAGGAAAAAATGTTTTACAGTCGAAGAGTATAAACAGTAAGAAAAATGTTCCCTCCACCTGCCCCATTCTCGGGTTAAAATTATCATGGCAAACTTCCACCAACTCGCATGCGCACTAACTGTAAAAAAAAAAAAAAAAAAAAAAAAAAAAAAAAAAAAAAAACGTATTTTTGTTGTGCTGCGCCACTTTCTTGACTGGTCTTAGGTCCGATTAATCAATTATAAAATATAGAGTCCTTGGACAATTTTGTTTGCCCGGTACGACGGAGACCAAAATGCAATCCAGGTAAAAATCTTTTTTTTTTCTTTTTTGTAAGTTTAGGTATGTTGAAATTTTCTTGCAATCTTCGTCTGGAGCAAAACGAAGAAGAAAAAAGTATATTGTTGAGATGGGACCTTGAGACTGAGAATTACATGTACATAACCGACAGGACAAGAGTTCTCTGTAGCAGCATAGGATCTGCAAAAGAAGCTCGATCCGCCTCCAGCACGCAGTTCAGTAGTGCCTTGACTGTCCATGCACACTCTCCGGCGATATGAAAGACCCACTCGGAGCGCGTGGCAGAGGCGGTGGCTGAGGGGGGCGCTGCTCGCGCTTCGGGCAATTCCATGTCGCTCGGAGGGGAGGCCTCACTCGGTGCTCAGCCGCGCCAGCTGGCGAGCCGCGTCGAGACGTGCTTAAATCTTTCAGTTTGGCGGGAGAGCGCGCTTTCTACAGGGCATCAGCATAACTGTAATCTTTGTTTCTTCGTGGTGCTTGATTTGATGATTTGCACAAAAAAATATGATAAAAGCGCCGGTGACAACGAGACTTCATTCGAGCCTCCTTTACAATGCTCCCAGGCGTGCCGCGTAAGGAGCGCTCTCCCGCCAAACCGAGTGAGGCCTCCCCTCCGAGCGACATGGAATTGCCCAAAGCGCGCGCAGCGCCCCCCTCAGCCACCGCCTCTGCTACGCGCTCCCAGTGGATCTTTCATATTGCCGGAGAGTGTACCTTAGTGTTATCTAAGGTAGTCATACGCTGCAGCAGACTATAAAGGCTTTATGCTCTCTCCTAAGATAACAGGCCTTACTTGAACAGTTGGGTTGCTTATCTCCTCCGTTGGGGAAAAAATCGAGGTGTCCTATTGGCTCTCGAAGTCCTGTAAAGGCGGGAGAGAAGAAAGGGATGTCACCGATAGCCGTTCTGTTTCCTTCCCAATAAGTTGTTTGCGCTTCATTTTGTACAGTAAAGATTGTAAGCTATAGTCTTTGACAGGTTTAAAACGACATGGTTGCTTTTGTCTTGTGCTGCCTCTGGTACAAGATTTCTTTACATGACTCGCACGTGACGTCTGCGCATCATGCTGGTGGTCAACCCTACTTGCCCTTGCTGTGAAAAGCAAACTCGGTGGCGCTACGTCATGTACACCGCAAACGGTACGCGCTCAGCAGCAAGACCGCCACAATGGCTGGACGTCGGCGCAAGCTATGTATACCTTCAACGATATTGAGACGTGCTGCCAGAGCACTGCAACGGGATTGTGCTCGAGGGTGGCCACTGCTCGCAGTATATCCGGGAAGAACTCACCAAATCCTCCGAAAGGCACCATGCCGGACACGTCCGTATGGATGACGTCAACAAACTCGGCGTCGGTTCTACTCAACCTTTTCTGCGAAGCGAGATTCTTGTACCTCGGTGACGCTGGATCGAGACCTAAGAAACAAAAAGGAAATGGTTGTATTTTACATTCAGACTTCTCTACCAAGAGCTCATCAGATTTGCAGGGCTTCTAAACTAAAGAACAAGAACGCTTTTTGCCACGATTCATAAAATATTCAACAAAGGGACAGTTATATAGGTTCTTTGAGTCTGAGAACAGGAACCATGCCATACCTGTGATCCTTCCAATCTGGCTCTTCAGGTACTTTCCCGCAAAGCCGGCGACGTGCGCTCCGATACTGCATCCGATCAAATGAAAACTCTTCCAATTGGCTCCCGTCGCGTTCTAGCAACAAAACAAAATTGCCGACTTAACATTCAAGTAAGCGAAGTGACCGAGAGCCAGAGTCAAACCTGTCAAGTGGAGACGTTTGAACTTATTTTTCGACTGTTGCTCATGAAAGAACGTTTCACGTCAACCATGTGAACACCACTCAATCTACACCTTTGATATAGCATATATGACACGAAGACTGAGAGCACAATCTTCGGCTTTGGAAGCTGATTCAACGGTATGAGCCACCCAGCAACATTGACATAGTTTAAGCCGATTTCGCCATCACGCCCTCCACTTGCGCTGCGCTGCAAGGCAACGTAGAGTTGAGTGTAGATTTTCCAAGGAAGCCTCGAACATAAACACCTAGGCGAACAACGCCCAGTCATGGATTGTGGACGCACGATTGGCGTTTGAAAGTGTCCAGAAGACGGACGCTGCACATGCATATAGCATGCGATTCACAGCCCAGTTAAGAAAGATTGTGGCACGGGGAAGAGGACTATTTCAATGGTCTATAATCCTGCCCGTTCCCTGATGATATAACCATTGTACAAAATCCACCTCTCACTCGTTTTCGTAATCCTTCGCGATGACCAAGCCAGTAAACTCTTATGCCTCGTATCGATACTGTTATGGCATTGCTCAGGCGCAGTTCATAATTCTGAAAATGTTTCAGTCTGTGAGGTATGCGTGCTCCAAATTTTCTGACCCGGTTCGTACCTGGATGACCCGGATGAGAGTTGCCAACTGCTGCCCGACTTCGGGCACCACCTGGTTCACCACCCGACCGTACAGGTCCTGAGACTTGCGGCCCCAGTCCACCATAATGATGTTGTAGTCCCCGCGTATCAGAAACCTGTCTTTGAGCTCCTATTAGAAGAGGAAAGAAAAATTAGCAACATATACGCGTAAGTATCGCATTCTCGAGATGAGATCACGCTATGGAAATGTCCTCAAGAGTAGATATACTTAGAACCTTCTCTTAAAGGTAAACCAACATGAATGAAGTTGCTGAGCCGTAGCCGTAACATTGACACTTCATAGATGCTTGCAAGCAGCTAAATTTCAAAAGCCAGTCTGGCCACCGGGGGTGAAAAACAGCTTGTTACAGCACTGATCTGGCAGCCATAAGCACGTCCTTGACTATCAGACGAACCTGGCAGCAAGATGACTCCTCCTAGAGGTCATGCACATGTAAACCTGTATTTTCAGATCTCTACTCAACTCCGAAGGAGGCAATATCACCCAGCAGGAGAGACGTGAAAGAGAGGAGCGGAGAGAAACTGCCTATTCAAGTGCGCAGCAAAAACTGGCGTGGCCTGGCGGCCGAAATGAGAGGAATAGGAAAGGGGATTGAATGCACGAGGTTGGATTTACGAATGAAATACGAGTCTGGGAGCACTAGAGGTTCTTTCAGCCGAAGGCCGTAAACCGGTAGAGGAAAGGGTGTTGGAAATGTGCCGAGTCACTACGGTTTTTGAGATAGTAACCCAACCAACTCCGCGAACAGGCCACGACTCTCGCTGATGGCGTTTTTGTTCATTCGGCAATCGCTCGACGTCCCTCGACGTGTCTTCGACAACCGTATATACCATTTCGGGCGCCAACAGCTTGCCGCTGTTGAGGTATCCGTGGATGTAGATCTTGGTCTCCCACTGCGCGTTGAACGTGGAGTTGAGGACGGTGTCCTTCTCGGCGCTCACCAGGAAAATGGCCACGTGTGGATTCAGCCGCGTGAACAGCCGGAACTTGGTGTCCGAGGACTGTCCCGAGTTAGCCCGCTTGTCTGGAGAAGGACATGACGGTGAGATCAAAGCCGCAACCATACTCCTCATACATCACAGACAAAACACCAACAAAAAAACGCTGCAGGCACCATGACAGCACTGTCTGCATGCAGACGCGCCTCAAGCACTGCCTAAGCATGTTTGCTTCATGCATGTGCATGCTCCAACATGCCTGCAGACAGTGGTTTTGTATGACGAATGTGACTGCCATACAACAAAGAAACTCGCTTCAGACAGTTTCTGCAGACTGTCTTTTATTGGCAGTGTGACAGCGGCACCACTCGAAGCACTAATGAATAAACGTAAATCGGCATCAGACTGAATAACATGCCCGTTACCGAGGCGACTGCATAAGCTATCGCTTCCAGTTCTAATATTACTATATACCCGAACGAACGCCCACCCCCTAGGGTCACTCAAAAACGCTACGCTTCGGATTAACGACACTTCAACCACCTCGGTGCTTATAACCATTGTTGCTAGTCATCTAATTTTTTTTTTTATCTGAAATTGAAGGAAGCGCTTTTTCCATCCTCCAGAAATATTAAAACAAAGCGAAATCGGTATCGTCTCAGCACCCTGACGCCGTATATGAAGCTCACAATATCCAATTGTAACGATCACCTATCGCGGCCGTTCTTCACTAAGAAGCGAAATGGCGGAGCCCACAAGATAATCAGGGAATGGTGGGCCGATACTCGTAAGCGTACTTTACCTAGCTTAACGTACATGCCCCGATATGCGTATTCAGATACTTTTAAAAGAGCGGAAAGGACGGCATGCATAAAAAGGGCCATTATATCATCATATATCATCACATCGCATCATATAATAACATATCACATCACATTATATACATGAAGAGGACCATCGTATGAAGCATAAAAAACCCAACAACAGGATCAGGTGAAAACCGGAATCAAAAGATAATTTCACAAGAAAAGGTCAAACATACAACGCGAATATTTTCGAGCGAGTAAATGGTTTGCGTTGTGCATTTGTCCATGTCGTGTAAGCGTTTAAGCGCGCAGACGAAATCGACGCTTTTTCTCATATTTGTCAGGCAAGCTAGCGAACCCTTAATTTTATTGCCCAAGCCGATGTCCAGAAAGATAGTAGTTTTTGTCAAATAACAAAGAGTGGGTTGGTGAAAATAAAAGAATCAAGGAAAGAATAAAAACACTTAGGGTCAAGGACAGACAGCACAGTTCTGTCCTTGGACAAGGATAGACAACAAGAACTGTGCTATCTCTCCGTGTCTCTAGGTGTGTCTATGATTTCCTTGATTCTCGTAACAACTTCAAATACATCATTTTAGTACTGGACAAAAGGCAGCAGAAGAAAAAAAACGCCGGTCGCTTGTTCATGCTATTTGTGTCCCGCTATGCACGCACACATTATACTACTCAGAGATAAAAATATATATATATATATATATATATATATACGAGTGTACGATGGCGACGTGGGTCGAAGACCACAAATAAACAGCAAGCTTCCTGGGAATCTTGACTACGAACGTACTGACTTTTTTTGCTCAATTGTGAAGAAATATCTTCCACAAACGGAGATATTAAATCTCGACATCAGTTTCAACACCAAGGCAGACTTCGGAAGCTTAATAATGCCATTCCACTGCATCTCGCCATTTCTGGCTTGTCCTTTCCAAGATGGTGTTTTCTCCAGTAGCGTGAGAACAGGGGGGAGGGAGGGGGGGGGGGGCGAGTTTCCCTTTCCCCTCCCAGACATTTTAGAGGTTTCTTGTAAACAACTCAGAAGAAGGGAGAGAAAATCCCCCCCTCCACCGTTGCCCCCCATCTCCCGACCACTTCCGACTCCCCTGGTTGTGTCATGAGCCCAGATAGTCATGCAACCTTTTGCACAGGGCCAAGGGCAACTTTTTCATCCTCTTCTTCCTTTATTATTCTTCTACAGACCTTTTTATCAACCAGACATCGCTTCAAAACAACAAAACTAAGAAACCAAGAAGGAGGGGAAAAAAGCACAGACAAAAAGGGTCATCTACTGAAGTCCGGAAGCACGTACTTGTGTCAAACACTGAAAGCAAGGCCGTCAGCCTCACCCAGAATCCAGCGACGTCCATTGACATCAGAACGGGGCCACGGGGGGGCTCCCAAGTCCGCGAGAAGGTCTTCCGCACCACGGCCACAACCAACCACAATAGCGAACGCGACGTCGTCAACTCCGGAGACAGGGCAACACCCCGAACACATCCCGGACATCAACTCCTCGACCAGAAACGCCCAGCGCCCTTACACGACGTCGCTCCCATGTCCGGAGGCGGCGACCATACCATCCCATACCATCGACTCGCACGTCCGTAGATTCCGACGGCCGTTTCTGGTCGGCGTTGAGTCGTCCGTTGCGCGACAAAGAGAAAGACGCCGATGCCCGTACGTATATGCAGCCGAGGAACGAATCGTCCCCTCGCAATGGCAAAACAAGTTTGTCTGGTTGCAGTCAGCGCGCGGCGGTAGCACGACACTTCCCGTAGGAAGGAAGGTCAAGACTTGGAGATCCTCACCCGGAGACGCCTAGAGTCGAATGTTGAACGACCGGGTCGTTCGCTCTACGGCGCCCCCTTTTCTCCTTTGCTTTCTTGTCTTTTTTACGACGGGGCTCCTTGAGGAACTTGGCGTGTTTGCCCCGCTTGTGAGGTCAGGAGATGCGCGCTGGAAAGTCGGCGACCTCTGGGCTGAGCGGCCGTTGCCTGCTGAGGACGCCGGACGAGGAAGCCCGCCGCGAGGCTTCCGCGCGTTTTCACTTGTTCCAGTGGTGCAAGCAGAGCATCACTCGCCGACAGCGTTGTTGTGACGCGTAATTGTGCCAAGATCGGCCACGGCACATACGTCAATGTGCGCCTGTGTCAACGGAGTTCATTGGTATGCGCTGCGTCCAGTTGTTCGCGCAACGCCCTCGTCAGAATATACGATTAGTATTAATAATTATTATTAAATGACGATGTAGTTTTGTTTCCGATTGTGCTTGACGAGTGAAGCGCAGAACCTGCGGGTCGTAGAAAAGGCGTATAAGTAAAACATATAGCTATGGGAATTCTGGAACCGATCGATGCTAGGGGGGGGGGGGGGGGGGGGGGGGGGGGGGGGGGGGGGGGGGGTAGGCTACGGCACATATTTGGATAATAAGATTGAGCAGTTCGCCGTCCCAACGGCGCAGCAGGTGCTTTCCTTTTGACCATCGATGCGCTTCATGAAATTAATATTACCGATTAAATTGCCTGAACAAGGGACAGTGAATTGGTAACGATCCCTGAAACACCTCGTCCATATGGCTTTACTCCTGTTTATTTCTAGTCTCAAACAGCGCGTCAGTGTACCCAAAATCCGGAGGAAGTTGTTCATATACCTAAATGCAAAAAAAAAAAAAAAAAAAAAAAAAAAATAGAGAACTTTCAAACGTGTTGCTATAGTTTCTATTCAAGTACAAACTTAACGTGCCTAAATTTCCACTCTACCTCGTTGAGTCGTAGGCAGAAATCATAAGTGTAAATTTCACATAGAAATAAAAAAATGTAGCCCAGCCCACTCATATATCAGTAAAAGAAAAAACTGTTCAAAATTAAAAAAAAACGAAAAGAAAAACTTACACATGGTTGAAAAAACCCCGAGACTGCGGGTAAACGACACAACACTAAAAAGTCTCTAGATACTTTTTAGTGTTGTGTCGTTTACCCGCAGTCTCGGGGTTTTTTCAACCATGTGCAATGTACACCAGCTCGTTTGCGCCCTTACTTTTTGTTCAAAAACAAGTAGTCGTCATCTCTTAAGTTACGTGGAGTGTTGTCAAAAACCCGAAGGAGAAAACCCGAGATAAATAATAAGTTATAGTAATAATTTAAGTTATAAAACTAATAATAAATATTAAAAAATAATAAAAATATATATTTAAAACATCATATCACTGCGTTCTGCCCCCCAAGGAGCGGCTTCTCCAAGGCACACAGCTGTACTGCGAAAAAGCAACAGAGCGAGGAGTCACAACCGCTGAACCACCACAGCGCCATCCTGGAGCTACGCTCGCGCAGGAAACCTTGCAAGACTGTGCGCTCAAACGGGAGTACGAGCAGAGTGATCTAGTGGCCAAGCCGGAGCCCCTAGCCGCAGAAAATACGCAATAATTGAAATTGCGTTGTCGGTATATCTACAAGGTATTCTCTCGAGCGCTATTGGGGCATTATAAAAATCACATAAATAAACTGATGAACAGAGTGAAATGAAGCTTTTCACGAAGGTGACTTTAGGTGGTGCAGCCATTATGCTTTAATGTTATAAATGTAGGTATCGAAAAAAAAAAACTTTCTTTTTTTACCATTTCTAAAACCCAAGAAGGAGGCTAAACAGAAGGGACAAACACAGGACGTCTCGTGTTTGTTTCCTCTGTGTAGCCTCCGTCTTGAGTTTTAGTGATGTTTGACTTTAACCAGCTCATTTGCCTTATTACGTAATCTTCAATCATTATTTCTGGTGCAGGCATTGTACCTTGTTCGTCGTTATATTTGTCATCCCTCCCGGCGTCTTCTGTGTTTGTGTGCGAGTTCCTGGTCGTCAGTAAGCTCGGGTTGAGACGTCTTGTGTCTGTCCCCTTTGTGTAGCCTCCGTCTTGGGTGTTAGAAATGTTTCCTCGGCGGCTGGTATAGATGAAATTAACTCAAAATTTCTCAAGGCTACAAATTAATACTCTTCCGTAATTCTTGAACGTATTTTTTTTAGCAATCACTCGAGACATCATTGGTACCAGCCGACGGGAAAATTGGTTAAGTTATTCCTTTGCACAAGTCTAGTGATAAGCACGTTCCTATCAATTATAGACCCATCTCACTAACCAGCGTTCCTGTAAAATTTTTGAACACATATTTTATACGCAACTCGCTAACTTTTTTAGAATCCAATTCATTTTTTCCCCAGCTCAACACGGCTTTAGAAAATCTTTATCTTATGAAACGCAACTTTTGTCTATCACCAGCGACTTTCATTCAGCATCTGATCAGAGATCTCAGGTGGACTGCATATTCCTAGACTTTGCCAAAGCATTTGACAAGGTATCGCACTTACTTTTATTGCTTAAGTTAAGTAAACTTAACATCGACTCTAACGTGTTTAACTGACTAGTATCACTTCTAACGAATCTGTCACAATTTGTAACGCGTAATGGTACAAACTCCTCCTCCGCGCCCGTCTCTTCCGGAGTACCTCAGGGCTCCGTCCTGGAACGTCTACCATTTTTAATATATATTAATGACTTGCATGCGGTGGTTTCTTGAATCAAACTCTTTGCTGACGACTGTGTTACTTCTCAAGTAATATTTAACGTTTCAGACTCACAAAAACTACAACATGACCTAGATTCCATACTACATGGTGTGAACTCTGGTCAATGGACCTCAACATTAACAAATGTAAAATGATGCGCATACCACATAAAGCCACTTCAATTTTGTTTGTAGTATTAATAACACACCCATAGAACTTGGAAACTCACACAAGTATCTGGGCGTGTTAAGTGCTGACCTCTCCTGGAAACTTCATATTAACTATGTGACTGACAACGCCAACCGCATGCTTGGTTTTCTCAAACGTAACTGCTATCTCACCCCATCATCATTAAGACTATTCCCTTATAAAACACTAGTTAGGTCCAAGCTATATTCTGTTTCATACTTAGTGTGCAACGCTGTAAAAGCTTTTGGCGCGAGCATGGGGCTTGATCTCGTTGATCATTTGCACGCGTTCTCGCGCAAACAAAACCATCGATGAAGCCACGCGCTCGCGCCAGTAGCCTTGAGAGCGTTGCGCGCTAAGTATGAAGCGGAGTATAGAGTATGCAGCTTCGATCTGGGATCCCTCTGCCCTTTACCTCATTGATTCATTTGAAGGCATTCAGAACAGAGCTGCGCGCTTCATAATGGCCAATTATAACAGGCCGCAAGCGAAACATGCATGAAAGATAGTCTGTTAATCCCAAGCCTCGCACATCGTCGCACAGTTTGTTCGTCTTTTTCATAAAATCTATCACCATATCCCTCAGCTTAAATCACAACTAATCATCCCCCTACTTTGTTTCAGCATGCCCTGATTATCGTTACAAAGTCGGTGTCTTATTTTTCCACTCTAACGTTTATTATGACTCTTTTATTTCAGAACTTCCACAGGCTGGAACCGCTTATCCGCATCGCTCACATCATTTAATGACCACGCACATTTTTGTACAGCTATTGCCGATTTCATGTTCAGTGTTCTTTAAGTACTGTATATTTTATTCCATTTGTACTATCATTACTATTGTTCCTGCTCCCGTCTGTAATGCCTTGTGCCCTGAAGGTAAAATACCATCTGTAAATATACGTCAACCAGACGATTTTAACCGTTTTAATCAGTTTTTAGAGCGGAGCTGTTAAGGGCTAGTTTCCCCAGTTTCGTGTCCGGTACCAATGAAATGTCGACACAAAACTACACAAACCTCTGGACAGATACCGCCATCTATGAGCGACGGCGGCAACCAGACAACCAGTTTAGTTGCCGCCACCGCTCATAGATGGCGGCAACCTTTCCAGCTATCAACTACAGCTCCACAGCCTGCACAAGCGCCATCACAGCGGAAGCACTGGTATTTCCAGCGGCGGCCGACTCCGGAGCACACCCCGCGGAGAGATGGGTGGTCCGTAGAACAAAACAACGGCTGGAAAATTGGTGGAAAAAAAAGAGAATGTGACGGGCTACACAAAGGAGCCCACTGGATTGGACACGTTTAGTACGTGACCCCCCCATGCCAAAGGGGGATAGCTACATACATCATCATCATCACCATAGAAGAATGGATAGTTGGCCGAGGTGGTAGGAATTCATCGTAGGAAACAGCGCGCAAAACAGACGAGGAGGAAGGAGAAACACACGAGACGAGAGTACAGCTTCGGACAGTTTGATACTTTAGACCCGTGTTAAGCGCGATCCAAACCAACGCTTCTTTTTGCGCCTGTAGGTCGTGCGGCTGCGGATGTGACGCATTTTGTGGCGTTTTTGGTGTTTCCGGGCGCGCTTTCTGAGTCAGAACCGTGCGCTTTGGTTTGGACGG